CACACCAGCTCTCCAGGGTAAGCGCATTGAGCTACATTTGAATGATGAGGAAGGTGAGACAGAGACTGCAAACCCCCGGTATGTGCATGTATCTATGGGTTTAAAGATTGAGGGTAATTTAGCATTACAACTACATGAAAAATAAATTCCCCAAGGATGTCTTCGAAAGGGNGCATTACAACTACATGAAAAATAAATTCCCCAAGGATGTCTTCAAAAGGGTTGAATATGGGTGTGATATGGTATACAGGCTGATGAAATTTTTATCTTTTTTACCTACAGTGTTTCNAGACAGAGACTGCAAACCCCCGGTATGTGCATGTATCTATGGGTTTAAAGATTGAGGGTAATTTAGCATTACAACTACATGAAAAATAAATTCCCCAAGGATGTCTTCAAAAGGGTTGAATATGGGTGTGATATGGTATACAGGCTGATGAAATTTTTATCTTTTTTACCTACAGTGTTTCATTTTGTCATTTTAAATCATGTTTTCTGATGTACTGATTTATATGCATTTTACTTGCTAAGATTTTTGTTGAGGGATGTAGCAAATAAGTAAAAGGGACATTAAAGTAGTACAGAGATGGCAGAAATTCATATATAATTGAGGAAATAGCGGTTATTCAAAAAGAATGTTCCAAATTGCCTTGCCCCAGGAGGGATGACACATGTACTGTATGCAGCTAATGTTTAAGATGTTTTCTTTGTTTATTGACTTAACCACTGATAAAATTTTATGAAATCATTGTAAGTCATGGAAAATATTTAAGGCATGGAAGTCAAAAGCTAATATTATTTCATATGAAAATGTGTACCAATGGGAATGAAAATGCTTTCATTGTATTAACCTCAATATCTGCTATTAGGTTTAAAGTAATGTANGAGGGATGACACATGTACTGTATGCAGCTAATGTTTAAGATGTTTTCTTTGTTTATTGACTTAACCACTGATAAAATTTTTATGAAATCATTGTAAGTCATGGAAAATATTTAAGGTATGGAAGTCAAAAGCTAATATTATTTCATATGAAAATGTGTACCAACAGGAATGAAATATGTGTACCAATAGGAATGAAAATGCTTTCATTGTATTAACCTCAATATCTGCTATTAGATTTAAAGTAATGTGGAAAAGCATAAACTACAGGGAGCTCATATCATTTATTGACATATTTGTACCACTGTAGATATTTTCAATTTTTATGTTTTTGTACTTCATCAGAAAAATCTATATGTTCTAGTACACTTCCTTCATCATGAACNTTATTGACTTAACCACTGATAAAATTTTTATGAAATCATTGTAAGTCATGGAAAATATTTAAGGTATGGAAGTCAAAAGCTAATATTATTTCATATGAAAATGTGTACCAACAGGAATGAAATATGTGTACCAATAGGAATGAAAATGCTTTCATTGTATTAACCTCAATATCTGCTATTAGATTTAAAGTAATGTGGAAAAGCATAAACTACAGGGAGCTCATATCATTTATTGACATATTTGTACCACTGTAGATATTTTCAATTTTTATGTTTTTGTACTTCATCAGAAAAATCTATGATATATGTTCTAGTACACTTCCTTCATCATGAACAAGATAAATAAATGTGAATTTATCTAGCCACTTTCTTTAAAATCAAAGACAAAAAAATAGACTCAATGTGTGCANAAAATCTATGATATATGTTCTAGTACACTTCCTTCATCATGAACAAGAAGATAAATAAATGTGAATTTATCTAGCCACTTTCTTTAAAATCAAAGACAAAAAAAATAGACTCAATGTGTGTGTGCATGTGTATTCATGCACTTGTGCTATTATTTATTACACAAAACAAACTCATTTATGATGATGATGGCTCTGTTTGGTTTGTTTTGCTTTCTCCATCCCCCCCTTCCCCCAGGGAATCTTGCAAAGTAGACTAAGTATGGGGCCCTGAATGACCTACTGCATACAGCCACGGTATCACTCATTTTATACAAAACACATGGAATTTTTGTTTCAATGCAAATAATTATTTATGAAATTCTCTAAAACCAATTTAAGTAAATTATGAGCAGATTATATGGATCGATGTATATTTAGTGAATTAGTTTTCACCTCTTCTTTGGCTTCATATAAAATTAAAATATGTAAATATTTATACAGAGAATAAAGTACTTGGTATCCATTTTATTAATTATGAAACTCTAATGATTTTGCTAGTTTGGCTTGATTGACTTTATTAAAAGATTGGCAACAATACAAGGTTTGCCTTAGGCTATGTGTTCTTTCAATCAATATAAAAAATGTTGTATGTTTGTTTTTAATTTAGCTTGTTTCCCCCTTAGCATTATGTAGCCTATCTAAATTGTCATGCTAAATATGCACAACAAAAAACATTCATAAATTTCCACACTGGAGTCTGACATGCCAGGAACATTTTATATTTTATCTGTATGCTTCTACTCTTTTCTTCTATGAGTTTAAATTTTAATGAGATTCCAACTGTCTTGTAGTTTGTATTTTGCACGTGCACTCCCTATGATAACACTAGTGAAACAAGGCTTACCATGTGGTATGATTTCATGCCTATGCCTTAGAATTTGACTTAAGATAGAAAAAAATGTTAGGGTAGCTTGATTCCTTTCAATAAAAAATGCTCTTTTAAAATTCTGAGTTTGTTTCAAGAGCTCTTCTTAAGGGTTCAAAACACATTGCTTTTTATTCAAATTAAATCTAGAAAATAGCTTTGATTTTTCCCCCCCACTGGTAATGCAATTACATTATGTTATGGGCTAGAGATAAATGTATTGCCTATCTTCCGCACTAGAATAATAACTTCATAATCATTTTGTTCACCAATAAATCTACAGTGTCTAGAATAGTGCCTAGGTTATAGTATGTGCTCAATATTTATATATTTGGAATAAATAAGAATAATTGTATAGAATCAAAAACTAAGAAATAATCAAAAGACCTAATATACACACAAATAGAATTTTTATATACATATATACAAATATAAATTGTACACATATTCATTATAAAAAGTTTAATAATGCAAATATTTTCAAATTTATACTTACTGTTGAATTAGTTGCTTTCTTGAGAGCCTGATTTTTTTTAATAGCTTAGCTATGAGCCCACTATATTTGTTACTTTAAATTCATTTGCTAAACCTACATATAGAATTAGATTATTTGTCTTTTTCCAATCAACCCACCTTAGATTTTGTAATTCCTATACATTTGTTTAAAAAAGTTATTCTATCGCTCTTCAAAATGCTGTTGCTATAGAAATTTAGTTAAATATGTTAAGTACAATACCACAAAAATGGGTTTTAAATTACCATCTTCAACAAAGAGAATGATCTACTGTGATGCTCAGACAACAAAAAAAATTAAACCAACAGACAAAAAACATTTTTAACATGGGTACAAAAACAATATTCAAGACACCAAGAGCTCTGAATCTGAAGTTCAAAATTTTCGAAACTCTTCCTAGTTTGTAATATAATCATTAAAAAAAGAGATTAAGAATGCTCCATGCTACTATTTATACCCCAGAAAATCATTAAGGAACAGTTTAATTTGGTTACAAGATTCTTTATTTTGTAAACTATACATAAACAGTAAAAAAGAAAATGCATTTTGCTTTAAATATTACATAAAGTCAACATTAAAGTTTCTTTTTTAGTGTGTATTAATCAAATGGGAATAATCCACCAATTTTACTTTCAGTGAATTGTATATCGGGAAACCAGTTGACCCACTGTTTAAATTATAATATTAATATGAAATAGTCAACAGATTTTTTTCATTTTTATTATGGGCACAAAACCATAGGTCTGATATACTTAAAAGTGATGGTGTGCTGAAAGGCCTACACAATTAATTAACATGCTAACTTAAATATAGCAATTAAAGTAACATTTATTACAGTTAAATCTTAAATGCTACTCTACACAATAATCATAAACAAGTCCACATGGCAATTATGTAACAATAGAAAAAAAGGAAAGAAACATATTCCATTTTCTTCATTCCAGCAGCAGTACCTTTATTGGTATTACTTTGTTAATTAGGTGTGCTTATATATTGCCTAATATCCTATATTGGTATGCATGCTAAAACCTTTCTATTTCTATTTTGCAAGGCACCATACAATACGTTCTCTAAGTTTCAACACTAATAACAAAAATGGTATAATTCTTAGATTAAATGCAAATTTTTTTATCGAAAATAGGAAAGAAAACCAGAACTAAGATTTTTGAATTTGACATTGGGCATATGACAAACTATATGTGAAAATATAATTTAAATAAATCTTTCCTTTGTCTTCCTACTTTAACTTCTGTACCCTAAGTTGCTGGTCAGAAAGATAAAGAAATCTAGAAAGTAAAGAAATCATGCTGTTTAAGAGTATAAAAATATCTACATGAGACTGCTATCCAAATTAAAATAAAAATTAGAAGGAACAACGAAGTTTTTAACTTTCAGAATCCATGGTTTTTCCATACTTGCCATTTTTTAAAATACCCTACCACATCCACAATAACTCAATAATGAAAACCATCATTGTTAATGTAAACACGATGCAGGACTCCTTATTTTTCTTACCCTGTGTGGTATCCCCTCATTCATCTCCAGGTTTGGGAAAAATGCTACTTTGGAATTGCAATTAAGGTCATGCATATTTTCAAAAAATCCTGGGGATTCAGGTCACCAATAAGCTATTATAAAGTTAACTTAGAGTATCTCTCGGAAACAGAACACATACGACCTTAAACACTGATTATTGTTTGTGGGAGGTTTACATAGTTTGTTCTTAGGAAAATTTGTTTGTTTATAACAGTAGCTCTTCATAAATTTTTTCCACCTGGCTAGACTCCATATATGTTTTATGTTTTCTCTAAGGCATATAAAAACTCAAAGTAAGTGATTTTTAATTAAACATAAAGTTCTATAACTTTAGCTGCAATATTTGAAATAATTATACAAAATATACGTGAGTTTTAGAATCATTTTATTTGGGGGCATGAAGGTAATTCTCAATAAGCTCTCACTCTGTAAATAATAGAAATGTGAAATTTATTTGATCTCGGCTCCCATCAAATGTAGCCATCATGATCATCACCATCATCATCATCATCATCCCCTTCGTCTTCATCATCATCTTCCATTTCATCTTCATCATTTATTATGTCATCTTCATCATCCTCATCATCAGTCCATTCATGGAAATCTCCACTTGCAAAATCTCCAGAGATCTCAAAGTCAATAGCTTAGGAAAAATGTAAACATTAATGTTATTTGACTAAGTAGTACAATAATTTCTGAAGAATATAAAAATCTGATGAAAGTTGAGACAGTTAATAAAATTTTAACCTCCTCTTTAGCTTATTTAACAAAGGTAAGGAAAAACCCATTTTCTAGTATTTGTTAAAATGTATGTACCTAAAAGCAGAATTGTTACTGAGGTCTGATATGTAAGATTTCCAGTTTGGGAATACTGATCCCAGCCCAGGTTTTACAGAGTCCACGTCAAACTCTGAATCTGACAAAGAATTAAAAATTTCTTCGACTACTATAATAAACAAAGTAATTGCCCAGCAAAGATCTTCAATTCCCAATCCCTGCAACCTGCAAATATGTAACCTCTCCTGGTAAAGGGACTTTGAAGATGTGATTAAACTGAGGATCTTAAAATAGGGAGATTACTCTAGATTATTCTCTCGGGCCCAGATAATCATTTGTGGCTAAAATGAAAGAACCTTTCCCAGACAGAGTTAAAGGGAGATTTGACCACAAAAAGAACCGTGAGAGAGATGCAACGCTGTTAGCTTTGGAACGGGTGGAAAGGGTCCATGTGCTAAGGAATGTGCGCAGCTCTAGAGGCACCAAACAGGTCTTCTCTAGAGCCCCCGAAGGAGCGCAGCCCCGAAGACACCTTGATGTTCATCACAAGGCCAGCCGTGGGCGACCTCTGACATACCGAACAGTAAGAGAATAAATTTGTGTGGTTTAAGCCACTAGAGCCGTGGGCATTTGTTATGCTAACAATAGAAAACTAACATAGCTAGTTAATATTTTCAAAGGATATTTAGAATTATTACATTACTATCTGTGGAGGTAATGATACACATAGAACTCAATATGTATTTATTTTTAACTCCTCTAATGTTAGTATGTATTTATGTTCTACCCTTTCTAATGTTTTAGTCTTATAATTCTTTGGTAGCTAATTATAACATATCCTATTAATGTAACCCAATACTTATAATCTGATTGATTTCATAATACGACACATTGAAATCCCTATCTTAGGTGAATAAAATGTTATTTTTATTCTCCCACTTCACGTATTTTCTTAGTAAGTTCAACATGCTAAGAAAACTCAGAAGTCATGTTCCCCAAACAATTTCCCTATTCACTTATTGAATTCACTTCTATACAATTTTTATTTATAACATGAATTTAAATTCTTTATCCATCACTAGCATCACTGATAATTGAAGTAACTAACAGTTTCAATTACATATTGCAAAGACATGTTCTACGTATGTTAAAATTATGTTAGGTAGCGACTGAGTACTACTTTACCCTACTTAAATCTAATATCATTGGCCAGAAAACCAAAACCAAGCATTAAAAATCTTACGGAATAAACAAATGCAGAACAGGTGAGTAAGTATTAAATGAGATTACTTTTTTATTGTTTACCATTTGTGTATTTCTAAACAATCACAAGTGTATCAAACAATCTAAGTCTATTAGACTTTGGTCAAGTGTATTATTTGAAAAAAACAGTCCATTAATTCTGTGTGTGTGCGCGTGAGTGCATATAAATATGCATGTGTTTCTCNTTTGGTCAAGTGTATTATTTGAAAAAAACAGTCCATTAATTCTGTGTGTGCGCGCGTGAGTGCATATAAGTATGCATGTGTTTCTCTGTGTGTGTAGCTAAGTGGCTTTTATAGTCAAAACTCTCCATAGCACAAACAACAATACTGAGTTCTGGAAAAATATTTTATGAAGCAAAAAAGATGTTGCATTTAACACTTTAAAATATATGTATGTATGTATGTATGCTCAACTTAATTGTAATATTTTTAGGTTGATACACAAAAATGCATGCTTATAAAAAGAATTCAAATATTAATTATAATGACCTTTCAAACAATTAAACTATATTTTATCACCCAAACATAAATGATGCAATTCCATTTATTAAGTATACAAATTTTAATATGCCAGGAGTACTTTTGTTAGAGCCTCATTAAACACTTGAACAAATGAATAAGATCCTTAAGTACTTATATTGTGCTTGATACATTACTAAGTAAATACCCTTTTGCTTACCACAACCTGCAACACCATTTGTTCTGGATCCCATGACTTCATTTCCATATCTGTCAACACACCAGCACTGCCCAACACTGCCATGACACTGTGTTGGCTTGTAGTAACCATCTTCATCACACAAGGGTATGTACTGTCCTATGAAACACACACACGCATCATGACTAAGGTGTGTTCCTTTTGATAGTGATTAATTAGGCATTAATTCACTCAAGATATACAGATATGGAGTAGCCATAATGAATTGTCATAATGAATTGCATACATTTCTTTTGTTAAGCAAGTTTAATCTGCAAAAGATACTGTTTTGAGAGGTATAATACACAATTAAAATCTGATGAATGGCATGCATATTGAGTCAGCCAGACCACTTAGCAAACCCTTCACCGACTCATCACTGCCAGCATTCTATTTACGTTTCCCTGAATCTTCATTCCCACATCCCAGGCTCTTTCTGCACCAAGCTGTTTTCTACAGATTCAATAGTGCTTCATCTTCATGTACGTCTTTTTCTCACCTGGCCCTCTCCTTCCCTCCTTCTCCCAAGATAAGACTTCATATGAAACCTTCTCTTAAGGTGGGGGATTTCTGATATGCTTCTTCCTTGTGTGTTTGTGTGAGTGTGTGTGTGAGTGTGTGTGTGTGTGTGTGGGGGGTGTAGTCTGTCATCGCATGTACCCCTATACTGTGATATCCTCCATATTGGGAATTTGGGGGTCTCTTGGTTTTATTAAAAACTTTTAAACTCAGTCTAGTGGGAAAGATAGACATTTTTCATATCTATAATATCTAATGTTATATTTGGCACATTGCTAATGATAAATGTTTAATAACTTAGAAGTAATTTACATTCTTCAATAAACACTCCAACACTACAATGTAAGCTTTGGGAGATTAGAAAATTTTCTTGTTTTTCCTAATATTTTTTTTTCCCCCCAGAGACCAGACACACTAGAGTTATTTGGTGAAGGAAAAAAAAACAACTGCCCGGCCGGGCGTGGCTCAGCGGTTGAGCATCGACCTGGGATCCAGGAGACTGCGGTTCGATTCCAGGTCAGGGCACAGGCCCGGGTTGCAGGCTCGGTCCCCAGTTGGTGGAGTGCAGGAGGCAGCCGATCAGTGACTCTCATCACTGATATTTCTATCTCTCTCTCCCTCTCTCTCTCTGAAATCACTAAAGATATATATATAGAAAATAATAATAAAATAAGAAACAAACAAACAAAACCAACTAAATAAATGGATAAAATATCAAATACTTTTCATTTAGTCTGGCAACCTTATGGGATCATGGTTATCTCCTTTTAAAATGCTTGAAAATTCTGATATATAAATAATCAATTTTGCTTAAAATTGTAATTCATTTGAAAGATCTGAATTATTAGTTTTTCAGTGAGGTAGACAGAGTATCACCAAAACTTAAGAACCACTTCTGTGGATTAAACGCCAGCAAAAATAAGAAAAAATTTCAACATTCTTACTCTACCTCGTGAAAAGAATAACATTATTTGACATATTAGACATAAGAAAGTTATGAGGTATAATTAGGGTGATTTCATTTAAAATAATCTTTAGGCGAGTACACTTTGAAATGGAAGAGAGCACTATTAATAATTATGCTAGAAATTCAGACACCAACCAAGACTGAACTTGCAAATTGGAACATATGGCACCCTACACTCACAGAATTGATCAATTTTCAGACAGGTACCACTATCCTAGGTAAATAAGGAAAATATTTAAGACATTCACTACTCTATAATAATGACTTTTATTTTTATTATATAATGAGGAAAAAAAGGTGACTCCTTCCAAATGGGCACTTAATGTTTTCTTTTCTTTTTTTTTGTAACTTCAAAAAATCAGAGCCTGAATTTCAGTAACTTTTTGTCACTACTAAACCTTGATCAAGTCTAAAACAATGTTTAGTTGAATTTCAATGGCTTTTCCCATTGTACATGGCTAAACTTTGATTTGTGGAAACAAATACACCAGTGTATGAATGTATTATTTCCTCTTATGAGCCATAATATGTGGGTGTTTATTAAGAGTTAAGAGAAACATGACACATAGCTTTACTCATTAGTAAAGCTTCACATCTAAAAATGCTTTATTACAAAAAATAAACCTTTTCATGTTGAACCAACAATTTTCAAATAATATGAACGATTTTCTCTTCTAAACATACAATATTATAATTACAAAAATAGCATATCATAATATATATAATCAGATTAAAAAACATAAAATTTGTGCCACTAAACACACAAGGGCATTAACATACATTAAAAACATTGCATACGTGGTGTTCTGCTCTGGATCCTAAAACAGAAAAAAGACATCTGTGGAAAAACTCCTAAAACCCAAACGAAGTCTGAGGCTTAATGAATAGGATTATAGCAGTGTTAATTTCTTAAATTTCACAAATATATAACGGTTATTTGATACATGGTAAGATGGTAACTTTAGGTGAGGTTGAATAAAGAATATATGAAAACTGTGTACTGTCTTTATAAATAGTTTTGAATCTAAAATTGCTCCAAAAAGAGTTTATTTAAAATTGAGTGTTTCTAGGAATAAACAAAATAATTATAAATAATAGTTTAATCATCTGATAGCTTTGTGGGGGTGAAATTTGGAATTATTTATCATTTATTGATCTAACATTCTAATACATACATTAACTTACTAAAAGTTAGTAAAACGTGCTAATCAAAAACACTGAAAAGTGTGTTCATATTTTGTTGAGTTTCTCAGGTCACCCTTCTGTCTCTCTCCCCATATATACATAGATATCATCAACTCTTGAGTTGTTAACCACAGAATTATAATTGAAGTTTCTGATGATACTTTAACTTGAGCATTGTTTAAATCTCTTTCTTTTTTGACTTAGTAACTCTCAAAATGAACATTATATTAGGGTAATAAAACAGACATAATATCTTTCAATAGGTATGATAATAAAAGCAAGTTTAATTGCTTTCAAAAACTTCATAAATTTTGTTACTGAAATTTAGTGTAGTCTATCTTTGTTGAATTAATATTGATTTGATGTTGCTGTTTCCCTGGGGCTATTTATGTAAGCAATAAAGACTTCAGAAGAATGATCTATTACTCACCTAGGAGCTTCTTTATTCCTTGCCGCTTCTGAATGTTGCTGAGCTCTGTCTGGCAAGGTGGGTCTGCAATGACGTTAAAAATGTTACTTTAAGGGTTAGAGTTAAAAAAAAAAAAGTGTAATTTTTATGTTATCAAACTTCAGTTAGTTTTTATGTGGTTTTGGAAAACACATATTACATATTCGTTATTTTACTTTGGGAGATACAACATGTGTGTGTGTATCCATCCATCCATCCATCCATCCATCCATCCATCCATCCATCCATCCATCCATCCATCCATCCGTCCATCCCATCCACCAACCCACCCACCTAAAATGAGAGAGAGACTTTCCTGATTATTAATATTAGATTACCTTGCTTTTCCTAAGAATGACTAAACTGGATGAAAACAAGAGAATGGTGTAAAATTCTTATTATATGATGAAAAATGGTTCTTATTGTTTACTTTTAAAAGGTCCATCAACTTAGCAATGTAAAGCCAACTGATGGACTGCCACCCAAATAAATAACTGCTTACATTTTCCCCTCACTTAAACTAGTTTCTATAATACAGACACATAGCTTTGCATTAAAAAGTGATCTCTGAAAAAGTTCATCCTTCTTTCAAGTTATATCAGAGACACCTTTATAAATTTTGTTACTGAAAAATGTTGGCAGGCTTTTGTCTTTTTATTTCACCCAGATGCTGCAAATACACAGGGACAGAAAAATGTAGGTAAGAACTCTGCCAAAGTGTGCTTGTGTATAGCAAATAGACTACAAGAATGTATACACAGTGAAGGCCTAAGTGCACTGTGCCACTGTGACATTCTTTTGAGTTAACAAAGCTATTGTAATAATCATAACCTGCATGTCTTTCCATGTGAACAACTGTAAGCCTACTTTTGCCAACCCCTGTATATGCAATTTGGAAACAGAACATAATATACCATAATTTCTCATAAGCCATCTTTTTAAATAAATAGACCTAAAACATTAAATTGATTTGGAAACAAGTGTTAGGATATTTTTCAAACTCAACCACTTAAAGGAGAATACTTTTAGGAGTATAAAATTCTCAATAGATACAACAGTTTATATTATTTATATAATTAAATATTTTTACATATAATACATATTCATATCTAAAAGCAGTTCAGTGTATTTTACATTCATATTCTAAAACCTTCCTTTTAATAACTGCTATATAAAAACTGTACCATAAACTTTTCAAACAGCAAAAACTAGTATCTATTTTCCTATATTATAACTATTTAGGAAAATGGCAAAGTACAATTAATTCAAATGATTTCAAAATTCTTTACTATACCAATCTCACAACATGCAGTTATTAAATTTGCATATAAATAATGTGGTATGAGGAAATGAGTCATAGTGTTTAATATATATATTATAGTTTAATATGTCAGGCCAAAATGTTTTTCTTTGGAGAATATAAACCACGAAGAAAAAGGAACTTGTTTGAAAAGTGTAATTAGCTGTTGTTCTACTTCATTTTGAAATTGGTCCATTTGAGCGCTTTGTTTTTTCTAATAATCTAGTAGGGCTCTTATACTAAACACTAAAGAAATAGGAATCAAGTTGTATAGTATGAGANTGGGGCTCTTATACTAAACACTAAAGAAATACGAATCAAGTTGTATAGTATGAGGTTATAGAATAGATAACTTAAAATGTATTCCCCTTCAAATCTGCATTTAAAACCAAGAGGAAAGATCTTAGCTGAAGTTTTAATATTATATTGAAAGCAATTCTTCTAATTGCTAATGGCCAGATACTGTAAAGTAGAAGTAATATTTCTTATATGTACACTACTGAGTTGCATAAAAATCCAGGTGTATTTGAGTCTGACTTAATTTGTAAACTCACTAAATAAACCTGAGTACTAGTCCTACANGTAGAAGTAATATTTCTTATATGTACACTACTGAGTTGCATAAAAATCCAAGTGTATCTGAGTCTGACTTAATTTGTAAACTCACTAAACCTGAGTACTAGTCCTACGAGCTCTATATATNTAAACCTGAGTACTAGTCCTACAAGCTCTATATATGAGAACATTTTAACATTGCAAAAGAAATCACGAGACTGTTCAACTGCACATAATACTTGATTTTGAAATATTTTACCATTATTTAAAAAGAAGCTCTGTCTAGCCCTTAACTTAAAGATACTTGGAGCACTAAATTGAGATTACACCTATTATTTAACCTCACTTGCAAATAACTGATCTAGATAAAGGATAATAATGAAACTAATTGCGTGAAGGTTTAGACATGTTTAGACTGGAGAGTCAGCTTAGGGTATTCACACAAACTCTACCACAAGGTGTATTTCCTCTACTCTGTTTACTACCTAATAGTGTTGTAACTTTATGGGAAATTCTGATTTCACATGCTTACGATTTTGTGAGAATCATGCATTAATAAAATACAGATTTTAATTTAATCATTAAATTTACAAGTATTTACTCCAAACATTAGTTTAGAAACACAAGAAAAAAAAAAGAATGAAAATTTTTAATAGTTCAATTTCAAACTGTGGTTTTTGAAAATAACATTGTTCATTGTTTTGCATTCTCAATTTAAAAACTCAAACCTCTACATTAGGGCCATTCACACATTTTCTATACTAGAATTTTCAATTCAATGATAACAATGCAGTTCTATCTCCCCATACAATTTTGAACTGAATAAACTGTAACTGGGTAAAGTAAATAAGGTAGTATCTATATGTTTATAGCAGTTCTAATATACAAATGTGTTTTTTCTATACTCACAGCTAGTCATTTCTGAGGAGTATATTTTTACTAGTTGTCAAATATATATAGACAATTTAGAGTCAAAAATGAAAATACAGGAGCCACTATGGAGGTTTGTGAATGGCTGTCTAAGCAGACAGTCCACTGCACTACGAAGAGGGCCCGCAGATGCACAGCCAGGCAGCTCTCTCATGTGCCTCTCAGTAGGCCACTGCTCTCATTCTCTTTTTTTAATCAATATTTTATTATCCATGTAGCCTCTCACAGAATGGATACACTTGAATAACTTTATTAGGTTTATTTCATCAGTAGAAATTTCAATAATCTTAATACCAGAGGACAAAGTTCTATTTAATGTCTTTCATTAAATAGGAAAAACATCTTTTGTAGAATTAATACACATGAGCCACATTTTTATATCTCTTCCTGTAGATGAATTATACAAATAACCTTTAAAAATATCATCTATTTTCATTGTAGTCCCAAGGAAAAAATATTGGATATATTGTTGACTGAAATAAGACTTGCTGATGTCACCTGTACTAAACAGATTTGCCAAGAACTTACACAGTGATGTCTCTATGGCATTTTATATACAATTAACTTGTAAATACAGAACATAGGATTAAAACCACTCAGACAAAAGTCAAAGATTCTAGTTTCAAATACCAGTTCCTGCACTCATTCTGTAATGTGAAGTTATTAGAGATCAATAAACTTGTCCTTAGCTATAAAATGGGAATAACAGTATTTTCACAGGGCTATTTGAGTAATAAATAATTTTATGTATATGAAAGACTAGATGAACATGAATAAAAGTTAGTTTTTTTTCTTCTTTTTCCTGGATCTTACACAACAGGACTTCAAATGAAATAGCAACTAATTATTGATTTACTTTTTCAGAGTAGAGGCTTAGAATATACTTTTATGAAAGTAAGTTATGAATTTCTAAGGTAACCAAAATCTCCAGTCAGTATTCCTCCTACTCATTCTTTCATGATTACTTAGAAAAAGAATTTTACAAACTATTTTGTAGGGCTTAATTGTCATATTTCAGAAAATTAGTCACAGAAACAAATTTGTATTTTAATACAGTTAAAACATATTTTTCCTTGGAAACTGACATGTGTTTCACTTGTTTGAACATTTAAATTCTCAACCCCATTTATTAAACTTGAGATTAACCTTAATTTTAAATTTTTGAAAGGTATTTTGTAAAAACACCATTATTAAATAAAGTATTTATTTAGTAATGCTGTCCAGATATCTTTAACATTATACAACTATATTCTTGATTGCAATTTTAAGTACACCTAGATTAGTAATACCCAATTATATACCTTTCTTTTTCTCTCTCTCTCTATATATATTTATTTCTTCCTATATATACTGTATTATAATTTCTGGTTTATTCAATAAACAAAAATATTCTTAAGTTTATTATAGAGCTAAACTTAACTTTTTACATTAAATTTATTATAGCAAACTTAAGAACTTGTTGGTTATTGAATAAACAGGAAAACATTCTTTTATAAGGTAAATCACTTGAATACTGTTTTTAAATAAATGGTTATTGTTTATTATGAAATTACCTAATGGACTAATTCAATAAGTCAGTTACCCTGACAGAGCTTTTGTAACATTTTCTACAATATTAAAGTGATGAACATAATTAGGTAAACTCTCCTAAGCTTTTGGGAAGTTGTAAAAATCCTTTTACCATCTTGGGTACCCTTTAATTACATTATTTCTACTATGTATTAAAATGTTCTAAAATAATGTCATCACTTGACTATAAAGATTTTAACACATTGGAAGAAAAGTGCTTAATAAATGAAAAATATACAAAGTAAAAAATTTGGGGGGTCAGATTTTTAATCAGTTCCACAAATATTACTGCAAAATCCAGGAGTTTTTAAAGAAGAAAGTATTAACTTCTGAAGAAACATTCAGAGGTATTCAGAATATTTTTGTTTCCATTTATAAACACTTAAACATGCTATCATAACATTATTTTAAATTTATCTTTATTGTTGAAAGTATTACAGATGTCTCCCATTTTCCCCCCATTCATCCCCTCCACCCTGTTCCCACTCCCCTCCCCAGACCTTCACTGCACTATTGTCTGTGTCCATGGGTTTTGCATAAGTTCTCAGGAAAAACTAAAATAACATTTGTTATCATAACAAAAGACCACATGTCTTTTTATGTCAGTTTATACCTGTATTTACTTTTATTTTCTTTAAATAAATTCAATGTATAACAGTCACTAAAACTAGGATGTAGTTTATAGGATGTTCTATCACCTGGAAGCACATATATAATAATAATAAAGTGAACAATGTGTTTATTTGAGAGAGAGAGTGTGTGTGACTCAGAATATTTTCATAAAGCAAATCTAATTTTTAAACTCTACTTAAAGTGGTTTATAAATAATTTAGCTACTATACAAACCTTGCTGTTGACTCACTGCTAATGCACTTAATGATAATCATTTTATCCCTACTTATTAAACTATTACTAATATGTGAAAAAGTAATTGATATAGTAAAATGCCCTACATATTGTGTTAGTTTCCCATACAAAAAACTGAGAATCATAAACTTAATTTAAAGTAGTTTGTTCAGTCTATTAGCTGTCAAAAATCTTAAAAAGCAGTGATAATAGCAGGTATATCTCATTAGAGTAATTCCAAGTTTGTTTTTATAAAATTAACACCAAATTACATATATCAGTATTTCCTTACTTTCTCCCAAACTTTATCATATGAATTTTTTTAGATCTATTTCCCTTACATAATTATATTTATCATTTGATTGCGTATATAAGCATGACTTCAATTTTGCATTACATTAACATTACTGAATAAAGAAAAATAAAGAACCAGCCTCATTCCAACTGTGCAGGTTATCTCACTTCTTCCTGAGAAGCAAGACACTTTCAGTGTTAGTGAGGTTTTATGAAGCTATGTGATTCTGAAAATTTGAAAGACTAAGTCACTTTAAAATCAGATGAGTAAAAATAACTATGGTGAATGCTGTGGTTCATTCAGCTCATTTAATAAGATCACAAAACAGAACATTAAAACTCTATAGTGTAGTGACAAAAAACACTTTAATATCGTGGGCAATGTAGATAGAAAATTAATTTTAATGATTACTTTTAATATCAATGCTCTCATCTCTATGTGCTTCTTAGTAGTTCATAATGGAAACTATAATGAAGTATATTAATATAAAATATTAATTAGTATTTTTCATCTTATTTAGCATGTTTTGCATCCTTAGCAGAATTATATTATTCAACATGCTTCTTATTTGCTCTTGTATTAAACACTCTAATTAGAAAAGCATTCACTGAAATGAATGGGATACAGTGTGCAATTTTTTAATCGTGAAGGAATAGATAAAATTTGACATGAGGGTCAACTCTCTGCATCGGTAGGTGTCTCGTTGCTTACCTTGCTGTCTCTGGAAGCAGTAGCACCATTCGTTGTTAGATATCAAGCTGTCCTTGTATGTGTCGCAGGAATTGAAGAATGCCTTCGTGCACTGTTCATTCTTATCAAGGTAAATGCTCCCGAGCTCTGACTGGTCCAGTAGCAGGTCATAGTTTGTATCAAGTCTGTTAAACATCCAGCCAAGTGAATCCTTGCAAATTGGCAAAATGCTGGTATCAAATCCTAAACGCAAAGACAGAAAATGAGTAAAGATGAAAGTCGCCATCGGCAGGAAGCCAAATAAAGTAACATAATTGTGTAGGGCACGATATAAGAATAATTGCAAATAAAGTTATAGTTATTTAGCATTTAATTTTTGAATCCTATTTAGCACTTATAGGATACTGGGATTAAAATTTAAATGGGTACTGACTCCAGATTTGACGACTTAACAGACTCAAAATGTCACTGCCTTTTGGGAATGTATTTGTGTACTCAGAACATATTTACTGCTTCCTATCAGGGCACCACCATGACAGGCATGGGGATGCGGTAAAAGGTATTTGTGACAATTTCATAAAAGTGCAGATAAAGAAATTCTCTGATTTATTTTCATTGTTTACATTTTGCTTTATAAAATTGTTTGTATAATCAAAACAGAATTCTCCCATTCAAACTAACCCATGGCAAACATAAGTTTGTCATTTCCTATTTCCTTTCCAGGTCTTGACCTTGGTTCTGGAAAAGCAGGGTAGAAAAATCTAGATGAGGCCCCTATTCCCTTGGAGCTTACTATTAAAACAGCATGGGTTTGAGGTATTGGTTGAAACTATTTCTACCAGAAGTTGTCATATGCTTAGGGATTACATGAAGAAAGCAACTTGTAGAAAACAATATATGAAATTCTGCATAACCATTCAAAGGAACTGAGATCTTGGTATGAGATTTCTGGTATGCATCGAAATCACTCCATCCCTTCCAATCTAATTTTCTGAGCAATGGAGAGGCCTACTTTTTTGAATATAAGCTATGGGAAGAACAGAGAAGAGTCCATTACCTTTGAGTAAGGATTAGGAGTTAGTGAAGAGAGGCTATCTTCTCCCTTCACCTACTTATTGAGAATGAAAGACTCAACTGTTTTGTCTTTCAAAGCTTAGCATGGAGAACTCTAAGGGAATCCAGGTAAAGTCTTCAGTGTCTGCAAGAAGGAGAGATGGGCATCTGACCTCCAGGTGAATATTTGCTTATCTACTTGTTTACTATCTTGTTACTGCCAAAGGGGGAAAGACAGTTTAGTATGGCCATGCAGACCACAGGCAAAGACTGCTCTGGGATTCCACCAAAGCCTGAAGGCTCACTCTGTGTTGGGGTAGATTAGATATAAGGGAACGCCCAGAGAAGGTGAGCAGAAGGCCAGCAACTAGGGATTCACCCACCAGTGTTTCCTGTTTAGAGACAGGAAGAGAGATAAGAGATAAGAGAGCCTAAGATTCAAGCCAACACTCTGGACTGTTTACTCAGAACAATGAAGAATGACTGAAATATTAAAAGCAGAGTGTAATGATCTGACTTTTACTTTAAATGGGAAACACTCAGTTATGTGTATAATGAGGGCAAGTGTGGAAGCTGGGAGGCCATTGGGAGTAAGGAATAGCTCACATGTATCACATCTCCACGAGTTTACTACGACGGATCATCAATCTTTAAAACCTAAATTTTAAAATTATCTTTGCCCAGCTTTTATGATGTACCTTGTGAATATCCTTATCTGTTTCAACACATTCTTCCTTCCTATTTTTGTCAATTATAGTGTGAAACAAAAGTATCATTAACATTTCAATAATTTTTGTAGCTTTACTCTGAGGAGAACTTATCTTACAACTGAGAACTTATCAACAAAAAAGAATATTTCTGAAAATAGGACATGCACATATATTTAACAAATGTTAGACACAATACAACTAAGAATTCACCCTTTATGTTAAAGGTGTATTAAATTCTCACAGAGTACATGTCTGCTGAAGGATCAATTTGATAAAATGTCATCATGTTGCAGATCAAGAATGTCAACGTACATAATTTGAATTCGGGTTACTTGCCGCTGTTCTATTGCTACCTTACTAGGCTAAGTTATTCAACATATCTAGGCTTTAATGTCCACATCTAGATAATGTAGAGATTTTTAAGACATAACCTATGTTGCCTTGAAGACAAAAAGTACAGTGGGTTTATGTTATTTGAATGACATACATAAAATTGTGTTACAAGGGTCATCAGAATGATATTTAACAGAAAAGCAAAGGACTAGAAATAAAAATATTTTGATATTCTAAATTACATGTATACTTTCAATATTATCCTGTTGAAACTATAAATATAAAATTAATTGGGAAAAAAAAGGTTTTCCCTGTCTTATCTTGAACTTTTAGAGCTAGCAGATACTATTTGGTGAGTTTGAGAATTCTTGGGTAATGTTATCACATAGTCACTATATAATACGATGCAAATATAAAGAGAATTAAGATTGCAGATGGAATTAAAGTTGCTAATCAGCTAGCCTTAATAATGGAAGTTTATTGTGGATTATCTAGGTAGGCCCAATCTAATCACATAAATCTTAAAAGTGAAGAATTTTTCTCAGCTGTAGTCACACAGAAATAAGACCCCCCCCAAAATTTCATTGAAGATTGAAGGAGACCATAAGCCTAGAAATATGGGTGGTATCTAGAAGCTGAGAATAGCTTTCAGTTTATAACCAGCAAGGAAATAGAGATCTCAGTCCTAATTTTGAAAATAGCCCAATTGATCTAGGGAATGGATCCTTTCCAGGAGCCTCGAGAAAGGTGTGCGTGCAGCAGACACCTTGCCTTTAGTGTGGTGAAACCTGTGTTGGACTATTGACCTACAGAAACCATAAAATAATACATTTGTTTTGCTTCAGCCAATAAACTTTGGGGTGACCTGTTACATCAGCATTAGAAAACTAGTATAGTTTAATAACTATATATATTTTATATTTTGTGTTTGCCATAGGGTTTACAGTATACACTATTATCACACTCTACCTTCAAATAACATTGTAGCACTTCACATATGTTGTAAGAATCATACTAGAGTCTACTTAAACTCTCTCACATTTTCTGCTTTCATGTTATGTTTTAATTCTATATATATTGTAAAGCCCACAGTACTCTGTTATGTTTGCTCTAAACAGCTTACTAGTTTTTCAAGTGATTAAAAATGAGAAAAATAATCTCTTTATTTTAAAGGAAAATTTGTTCTCTATGCATAATACTTGTAACATAAATGGGTTGTTTTTCTTCACCAAGCAATTCTCCATTCCTTGTGGAAAATAAGTGGGTTTCCTACAATTTAATTCAATTCTGACTCTATATTGTGGGGGTTAATGCAGATCCCACAAGACTGCTTCTACTTCAGACACCAACTGCAAGTAGTGGGCTCCCAGACCACCTACACCTCAACTGTATTTCCTAGGATATGTGATATTTTCCTCTGGCTGACCATACCTCTTAGTCTCTGGGTATCTGGTGACCCAATTTTACTGCTGGGGGACACTCACTATTCCAAATGGCCCTCTTGGGCAGAATTTACATTGGTTCTCACTCATATGGCTCAAACATTGTCCACAGTAACTATTCTTGTGTTTGTTGCCCAGACACACAATTACGAAGCAGCAGTAAGTTTTCTTTGCTTTGGCACCAAACAAGCAAGCAGCTCATGCCTTTTAGATGTTCCTGGTGAAATCCAGGCCATAACCTACTTGTATGGGGTGCGTGTAAGACTATGAACGGTTCTGTTGGAACGCTTCCCTCAATCTGAAATGAAGGGAGGCACCCTCATCGCTTCCTAGAGGACTTGTGAAATCATAGCAGAGCTCTTTCCAAAGAAACTCTCTTCATAAACGCTGTTGGCATCTTTGCTGCCTTTATTCTTGCAGATCCTCCTCTGCCCATATTTTAAGGGCAACTGACTTCCATCTACAAGACTCCTTCACACTAGTACCTTAGAACAATGTTTGTTTGAATAGCCAGGGACCGGGAGCTTGGCTGGGGCATCTTTAGAATTCTGCCCACCACACTCTCTCTAAACACAGGGCATTTGAGCGGAAATGGAAAAGTAAAACTATGAGTCATCAGAGAATATGGGGCAGCTCACTCCGGGTAAAAGAAATAGCAAGTAAAGGGGTGTAAGACTGGTGCAGAAGCTCTCAAACATGGTCTTTATAAGTGAAAAAAATATCTCTCAAACATTCTCTGAATGTTTATTCTATCGCAGAAAATTAGTGCATTCACTTCCTAATCCTATGAAATAGCAAGTCTATTTTAACAACTGCATGTGCTTAATCAGCAGATATATTAACATAACTGAGATTAACAAATTGATGTAAAAGTCATTCAGATGAAAGCAAACACTCAGGAAATGTAGATTTCAAAACAAATTCAAAATGGCTGAAAGGTTGTCCTTAATTATGAAGATTTAATATTTTAAATATTACCTTAATTCTCCCCCTACCTTCAAAAAAAAAGGTACTCTAATATTTGGCAAGAAAGACAGATAAACAATTAAATGTAAATGACCTAAGCATATCAATTAAAATACAAAAAATGTCAGATGTGGATTAAAAAAGCAAGAATAAACTATATGTATTGTCCTGAAGAAATCATTTTAAATAAAATGGCATAATATGTTGAAGTTAACCAATTAAAAAGATATATACCATGCAAACTCTACTAGAAAGAGAGCCAGATTGATTATACTAATAATATATTTAACTTAAGAATAAGGAATGTTACCAAAATAAAAAGGGCATTACATAGTGATAATTTTCAAAGAGAAGACATAACAGCTCTGAATATGTATGTATTTAAACATGAAGCTAAAAAAAAAAACCGAAAAAACAATAACATACTAATAGAACCAAACAGAAAAATAGACAAATTCCCAATTACACCTGGATACTTCACTACTCTGTAAAAAAAAATAAATCAATCAATAAAATAAATAGAAAAACAGCAAGGATATAGAAGATCTGAAAAAATTATCAATAAATTTGAAATAATTTACATTTATAAATCACTACAACACATAATAACAGAATACACATTCCTTTCAAGTGCACGTGAAACATATTCTGAGGCATAAAACAGACCTTAACAAATTTGAAAGAACTAACATCATACAAAGTACAGAATCAGAACATAACAGAATTACAGCAGGAATAAAGAACAGAAGGAACTATGAAAAAATGTGTAGAGAACTTAAACAGAAAATACAAATAATAAATGTGGATTAAATAATTGCAAAGATGTTATTTAAATTTAGTAAGGAAACATGATCAGTTGCAATAATCATCTCTCACACCAATAAATTGTGGATGGTTTAAAGATTTCAATGCAAAAATATTGACATTAGATTATCCAGGTCAATAGTTTTATGAGAGAGATTTTTCTTAAGAAATACAAATTAATAATTCTGAAGTCAGAATAAAAAAGATGCAATGAGAAAATATTTGCAACACAATAAAGGATTAAAAGGTTAAAATAAATGTTTATTTGAAAATATGTATCAGAATGAAGATTGGAAAAACATATATATCAGGCTGCTAAAAATTTATTACCTCATGTTATGTAATATTTTTGAGCTATTTTATTTTTTATTTATATTTTCTCCTTTATTTAGCTGTCATTTCTTAATGCTTTTAAGACACTTATAATAATGTTCACCTTCCAGGCTGTGTGTTGCTCAACTGGCATTGGAGTAAATTCAATAGAAATAAAGCTTATGTTATAAACGAATGAATACATATGAAATATATGTATGTAATGTAAAAATTTATGTTTTGTTGTATTTTTCTGCATAGATATTTAAAAAATACATATTTGTTGTTGTCTTTTTAGTGGGAGGGTGTTTCACTTCTGACTAGGTTCTAACGGTTCAAATTGCTGGTTAGATGTGCTCTGAACACCCTATATGGTTATATTTTGAAAATAAGGCATTCATTTTGTTGAAAACAGAATAAAATAAAATTGATAATATTTCATGTATCCTGTGAGAATCAACCTATTTGTTAATGTTTCCAAAATTGCCAGTGCTAATAGTAATTCTATTTGGAATAATATAGGTCTTAAAGATAAGGTTTATCAAAAGTTTGGTGTCTAGTAAATCCACTGGATAACTTCCCAGGACAGAATAATGTAACAAGATATTTATTATGATATATTATTCACTTATCACCATTATTTTATAATTATAGTTTTAATTTATATAACATTACATTAATTTAGCTATATAATGAACTATATAATGTTGACAAAATTATAATATCCAAATATTAAGATAATACCTTAGTTATACAAAAGTGTATAATTAAATGTAGAGAGTTAGTTTGTCTATCTCATAAAAGAAAATGCCAGATGTTTCAATAATTAGAACAAACTAAATAAGCAATGATCTGTATCTTTCATTTTATTACTTGAAATAAGAAAAGAATATTTATCTTCTAAGTTTACAAATCTTTTGTTTTCAGAAGATTGAGTCCTCTGCTATACCTAGAAGGCTCCTAATTGCATTTAAATGGGGCACTGCCCTTAAGCCATCCGATTCCAAATCCAATCTTCCTCTCAATGTGAAGACAGCTTGACAAAAGTGAGCAAGGTCCTGGGGAAGGAATTAGAACCCCGCACTCATTTATCCTGGGGGTGTAAGTAATTCTATCATTTTCTGTGCCTGGAGAGAGCATTTGGAGCGCAGGAAAGCAAAAAGAAGACATTATCTTAATCTGAGATGGACTGTTAATCTGAGGATTTTACATATGATTGCATGTTGATTGTGCTTTTCAAACCCACAAAAAAGAAAATTAATACAGTATCTTTTCCAAAGGATAGACACACATAGACTCAACTGCAACCATAAAAAACCAAAAACAAAAACCTGTGTATTATATTTCTGCTCTTTGATTTTTGGAGATTTAAATAATGAAACAAAATATAGCAAGGTATACAGATTATAATGGTATAACATACACTATTGTATTCAAACTCGCCACTAATAAAGCAAGTAGAAATTAAATTAGCAATATATAATAGCATGCTCACAAGAATGGAAAAGTGAAAAATACANCTATTGTATTCAAACTCGCCACTAATAAAGCAAGTAGAAATTAAATTAGCGATATATAATAGCATGCTCACAAGAATGGAAAAGTGAAAACTACATTTTTTTTTTTATGGCAGTGGTGAAGGCTAAACTTAATTTTCATGCTTTTCTGTTAGAACTTTGAAATGCCCTAAGCTTTTTTGCAAAGCAGTCTGGCAACACTTATTATCACTTATATTTTGAAATGCATGCGTATTTTGACCCATTACTTTCACTGCTTGGAATCATTCTCACAGAAATAAAAGTACGCCAATTAACTGCAGAACTGTCATGTAGAAAACAACTGAAACAGTAAATAATCATTCCCAGAGAAATAACTGATTGGTTAAATTAAGGTGTATGTGAACAATGCAGTCTTTTCATTGCTTCTTTGCTTCATCTATTCATTAATTTTCACTTTTATTGAGCAAATGCTACGTGTCAAACTATTGTATGGTCAGGGGATACTGCGGTGAATAAAGACCTCTGCATTCATTGAATTTACAATAGTCTAGTGGGGAGGGAGAGAGGAAGGAAAGGAGAAAGGTGGAGAGGGAGAGGAAGATAGAGTGTGAGAGAGGGAGGGAAAAATAAACAAGTAGATCATCACTATGGTAGACGGTGACAATTGCTCCAAAGGAAAAGCAGCATAGAAAGGAGATGTGAAATACGATATTAGACAGTTGGTTTATAAATTAAGTAAGATTATATCAGGAGAGGACTCACTCAGAGGGTGTACTCATTTGAAGAGTTGGGTGAGTCTGCTATTTCTCTTCTAGGTATTTGTCTTATCTGTTCTAAGGTATAACTTCTTTTTGGAAATTTACTCTTAGTTGGCCTCTGACTTCTTCAAGTAGTATAAGGAAACCTGTACCCACCTTTTCATTTACTCTCCCAAAATATTCAACTCTCAAGGAGTTCCTTGTAATTAACTCATTATATTAAGAGTGTCTCATTTCTTACAAGAAAAAATTGGAAAGGGAAATAATATTTATGAATGTGTAAAATTAAACAGTGCTGGTGTTTCTACAAGCTCTCATTTTATCTGTCTCTAAATCTTGGAGGGATTATTTGTCTGAACTCAAGTTCAAAGGATACATTTGAGAGTAAATATTCAAGTATGAGAGTTTGTTGGACAGGTGTAGACATGATTTTAAAAAATCAGTATGTAAGAGTCTGTAACAAACCTTTGTCCTACTCCAAATATGCTTGTTTCGTTAAAAAGGGGAAAATATACTTTATTAACTCAGATGAGGCATCTCACTTACCTACTCTCAAAGCATCAAAAAAAAATTAACATCTGACAAAAATTTAATCAATAATTGTGAAGACAAGCCAGAGAAAAATTCCTACAGGGTAGAGAAAATATAATTTCTTTCTGAACTTTGTGGGAAGAAACATATGCACAGTCACTACACATTCAAAGGTAATTATGTCTGTTGGTGATAGCATAATTAAAAAGAACTATTAAATACATAAATACGAAAGGATGAAACTGTAAAAAATTCCTTGACTAGAAGAAAACAAACAAGGCATTTTAGGAAATGTAGATTATGGATGACTGTGCCATTTTATGAATGATTTTATTAGAAACAGATATTTGAGGATTGCAAGTGAGAGTGGATGGGTCATGTGACAATAAACTAAGGAAACATACTTGGGATTTCTTTGTCAGCTAGGAAATGCTGCTCATGACTATTGTCTTATCTCTTCTTGTCCCATTTTATTTATTTATTATTTTAATTTATCTTTATTGTTGAACTCCAGTTCTATTTTAGATCAAATGTTTCAATCTTTGATAGCTTCCCAAAATTAAGCACATTTCAATTTATTTCTTTTACATGTATTAAATATGTAATAAATATTTTTTTTGGAAATAAAATCATATAAACTGTTTTGTTTTGTTTTGTTTTTGAAAAATTCAAAGTCCATGAAATTATTCCTAACAAGTCCCCTACTTCAATTTGCATTTCCTGTTTCCAAGGGATTAAAAAAAAACACTTTGGGGGATTATATAGATGATGAAAAAATCATAAAAGATTCATATAACTTTTTTTTTCTTTTTAATATATTTAATATTCAGTGTGTCAATGAAAATGTCCTTTTAGTCTACTGTCATAGTCGGGTCAAAGCAGAAGTGTCTGCAAAGCAATCAGGAAAAGGCTAATTGTGCGCTCTAAAAATCTAAGTGTTCCAACAGTCTCACCTTTATTTCCCATGTTATTCTACTCTTTACCACTTCTATGAAAACACTGAAAAAAAATATTCCTTCACTTTCCATTCCATTTGGAGACTACATGCCATCTCTGAGGGATATTCCTTTTTCTTCCCATCAGAGATTTCACAAATGGTTTATTTCCTTGCAAAATATTATAGGTGTGCTCGGAAGTGAACACAATGTTCTGATTTTTGTCCAGCATCTAAGTGAAGGATAAACTCTCAAGTATGCGTTTTGATCTAAGTGATACACTGGAAACAAAATCCCACGTCAAAGACAATGGCACATTTGGAATTTAGAAATCTTACTGCTCCGCTCAGTCCTCAGGAAGGCTTTCGTCTTCTGGGTCTGGCTCCCACTCTCCTGAAGGGCCTTGAACCAGTCCCGCAACCTGTTTGCCAGCTCCCTGAACTCCAGGCTACTACACACTGAAAACAGGGAGAAAGGACAAATTCGTGAACGGTAACTTAGCAGAAGATTGATGCTAGTTCTCAAATTATTCCAGTAACGGAAATGTAACCACTAAAAGAAAAAAATGTAATACAATTACTATATGTTTCAGCTTTTCAAACACTGAAAATAAATGATTCAAACACAAGGAGATGTAATGTTATTTTATTTAATAAAGGAACATTACTAGCAGAATTCTACTCCCACTCCTCACTAAAATATAACAGTGATGGAAGGTCCTCATGTTTAACATCACATAAATTGAGTCAACTATTTGTGTGCCGAACACTTTTGTCATAGTAAGGTGGTAGGCCATCTGGGGAAATAGAGGTTGGAAATCCAGAATGAATCCTTACACATTAATCATTGGCCATACCTATTATAATGTTATGATTTACAAAGAGCAGTATATACTCCATATATATATATACATCATATATATGTGTGTGTGTGTGTGTATATATACACACATATATATATGNACACATTAATCATTGGCCATACCTATTATAATGTTATGATTTACAAAGAGGAGCAGTATATACTCCATATATATATATACATCATATATATGTGTGTGTGTGTGTGTATATATACACACATATATATATGCGTATTTATGTATGTGTGCCTGTGTGGTATGTCAAATTCAGCAATTTGTTGCCAAAATACTTTGAAAATATAAGCAATACTTATTTATACTGATTAGAGAACATTGTTACTGTAGGCCTAGCTCCTCTCAAGTAGCAAATGTGCTTTTTCCTGAACTGACAAGCCCTCTTTAATAGTATTCTTCTTGTTCATTTTGTTAAAAATAATTTACATAATGTTATAAATGTTACGTTGCAGTTAATACATACTACATACATTATATTACAATATGTGTCATATATACCCTAACATGTATAACATAATGAATATAGTATAATATACTGTAATATAATTTAAGACCATTTCCTTGTATTAAAGGGAATAAAATTCCAGATTAATAGGATTTTCCCAGTACCCAGTAAGGTGGCTGACCCATAACAGTAAATTATTGTGACATTTCAGAACACTGGGGGGGAANTAGGATTTTCCCAGTACCCAGTAAGGTGGCTGACCCATAACAGTAAATTACTGTGACATTTCAGAACACTGGGGGGAAAAAAGATACTACAAACTTCCATGAAGGAGAGTAACACAAATGGTCACATAAAACAGGATGAGGAATCGGAATATCTTCAGATTTTTCAATAGCGACACTGACAGGCAGAAAGGCAAATGAAAAATTACTTTGTATTTTAAACTGAGAATCCTATATCCAGAAAGATCAGGTGGGAAAGTAAGCTAAAGAGATTTTTTTAAATTTGATTTTAAATATACAAGATTCAAAGAACTAACCCCCATNATCCTATATCCAGAAAGATCAGGTGGGAAAGTAAGCTAAAGAGATTTTTTAAATTTGATTTTAAATATACAAGATTCAAAGAACTAACCTCCACCGAAGAAAGTTACTAGAGAATGTGACACACCTGAGAGAACAGAGGAAGAAGATGCCTAGACACAGGAAATAAAAAATCTAAGAACTGAAAGGGATTTCTAGGAAGATGGTAGAGAGGAATCTTAGAATGCATGTGGTGTGCCCAGTGTAGAGGCAGAGAGGAGAAAGTTTGAAAATCCTTGGTCAAAGACAGAGCAACATACAGAATTCATTGGAAAACACTTAACTATGAAAGTTAAAGAAAACATCGCTTTTACTGATAAGATCTACAAGGGCTGAGACTGAGTGACAGGCCGTAAAACAGGATGCTCCTTTATTGTGTGCACGCGTACCTTAGCTTCATTTTTGATATAAGGTGATGCAGGTTCTGTAATGAATATTTTAAGAATTCAGAATCCTGTGATAATACTGGTAATAATAATGATACTAGAAGCTAACACTGCACACTGTCAGAAATCTGTGTAAAGTAACATGCTTAATCCTTACAAAAACTTTATAAAATCTATGCAAGTATTGCTTCCATTTAAGGGTTAGGAAAATGATGCATTGAGAGGTTGGACAGGCAAGTGTCACAGCCAAGTTCTGTATCCAAAAAGATAGAATTCAAAGTCCAAGGTCGTAATCTTTACAGCAAACCACGTCAGTTGTAGCATGATCCAAATTAGAACAAACAAGTCAGGTATCCCTTCACTCAAAGCTTATCAATTTCCATTTCAGTAAGCTTTGACTGTAGTGATGTAACATGGTCATCACTACAGAGATGGATGTTAGCAAAACAAAGTTTTAGAAGACAACACAAAACCTATCTAAATATATCTTCTTGACTTTAAAAGATCATGTACCTTCAAGTCCATGTAGATTCAAGTACATTTTTTAAAGGACCGTATCTTCAAGGCATTTTTTAAAATTTTTATTGATTTCAGATAGAGGAAGGGAGAGGGAAAGAGAGAGATAGAAACATTAATGATGAGAGTCATTGATTGGCTGCCTCCTGCATGCCCCCTACTGGAGATTGAGCCTGCAACCGGGCATGTGCCCTGACGGAATCCAACAGGGGCTTTTCAGGGTCATGGGTGGACTCTCAACCACTGAGCCATGCCAATTAAAAACAATCACACAGACTCATGGAAAAATAAACTACAGTGTATGCTATCACATAATTCCACAGCAGTAACAAGGGCCCATGAAGGAGGTTACTCAATGAGACTTGCCTTTCCTTTCCTTTTTTTTTTTTTTAGAGAGGCTACAACGATGTTATTCATTATTATAAATCTCAAAGCAAATGTCCTTGTCATACCACAAAAGAAAATGCCTAGTGTAAACAATATTGAATTATAACATTATTTATAGAATGACATTTCTACTTCACTTTTGACCAAATCCTTTCTTACAGACATGTTCTGATTAGACTATGACCAAACTTCACTCTTCCAAGTGTTCGACAGTCATCAGTGACTGACTACTGTTCTTTCCTAGAATAAGTAAATTAAGGCCTATTCTTCCTGGTTTCTAACAGTTCCAGGGTTTTTTTCCCTCCTAGAAATAATACATTGTATTTATACAGCATGAAATGCTTTTAATGAGGTTCCTCATTTTATTTTAATATCAAGCCTGGAAGATTAGGTAAATGATGATTATTTTTTATAGCTATGGAAACTAGGACACCGAATATAAATGACTGCCCCAAATTTTACAGCCACTAGTGAACTAGAACAGTACTTGGTACTCATTGATCTCATTGTATTTGTAGCCAGAAATAAATAACAGAATAATAAATCATAATAGCATAATAAATATGATTTTAAATTAAATCTGAATAAAAGAAAAGGCAGGTTTCAATGCAAGGTTCTTAAACTGTGTCAAATTGTTAATTAGAGTGTGGTATTATGTAAAACAAATGAATGAAAAGAGGTTTTGGAAATTTAAAAAGTTACACATGCATTTATATTTGTGTACGCACACACCTACTCACATATTTGATAAGACAAAAGACACAATAGAATCAGTGGGGTAAAGCCAGGAAACGATCTAGAATATAAAACATAAACAACAGAGGGAGACTAGCGCAGAAGGACATAAAGGAAAGGGGAGGAGGAATGGAGGTTCGGTCTAACAAGTATAATACCTGACTTACAGAAGTTATTCAGAGAGAAAGAATAACTTGAAATGAGTACAATTATTTCAAAAGTAAAGGAAATAATTCCTGTAGCAGCAAAGGGACAAGTTTTCAGAGAAAGAGGGACCACCTAGATCTTATCTGAATGACTTAAACGTACAGATACATAGGGTGGCCCCAAAAATGTACACACACACTAACAGCTGATTCTATTACATTCTGAAAATGAAATATATTTTAATAAACACTGCCTTTATCAGTACTCAAAANCTATTACATTCTGAAAATGAAATGTATTTTAATAAACACTGCCTTTATCAGTACTCAAAATGTGTATACATTTTTGGGGACACCCTGTATACACTGTCACCAAAACATCATTTAATATTTAGAGTGTAAAAACATTAAAAAAAGTGTAAGAGCTTGCAGGAAGAGATAAAAAATAAACATAAACGATCAGACTGAAAAACAAAAGGGCACTACCAAAGGCAGAGTCAGCTTTATCTCCTAATGATTATTAGCGATACTGGATTATAGAAGTGTATAAAGCAAGCATTCTAATAAAAAATAAATTTTAATCTAGTGCCCCATATCTATTCAATTATCAGTCATATAGGGCAGAATAAGGGCATGTTTAGATATGCAAGAGCTCAGAGATTTTTGCATTCTTTGCCTCCATGAGAATGGGCTCAGCAAAATGAGAGGAGGAATTAAAAAACAAAACAAAAAACAATGACAGGAAATTACAAGAGAGAGACTCCTCTCAAAAACTGAGAAGCCCAGTACTCAGACTCGGTGCAGAGAGCATTTCAAGATGAAGCAAGCTCATGGCCAGCTCAGGGAGAAACAAATCTGGTGGATGGTGGCGAGTGTGCGATTTCATAGACTGGTCTCTGACAATCTGTAAAAACTTACCATGGTCATAATAAAGGCAGTTGGGATATGAAGTGGTAGATGCATTTAAAACCGAAGCTACTAATATGCTCCATTAAGAAAGAAAAAATATGTATTTGTATAGATATAACTGTAGCATAAATTCTCACTTTTTAGTGAACAGTATTCATATCATCATATTATAAAAGTTTTTGATATGCAAACTGACTCACTTTATAACAAATTCACAGAGGACTTAAAAATAGTTATAGAATAAAATTTAAGTGTTATCAGTTTTGGCAATGAACAGCCCAACTATAGCCGCTAGGTACAGGGAGGTGAGTAAACCCATGCGAGTGAAACACGGCCGTGCTAATGTCCTCGTTTTACAAAATGTGGAGGCGAGACATGTCTGTGGAACTGGAAACAGATGGTCAAGTGTTTTTGTTTTTGTTTTTGCTTATGATTCTGCTTTTTAAATTGTAACCAATAAAAAACTAAGAATA